GTGGGTAAGTGTGGCTCTGATACCCATCAGCACCCAAAATATGTATTGATAATTTGATGATAAAAAGTTATGAAGTTCATCATTCATAAGAACATCAGTTGTTTTGAGCATGAATAAGTTGAAGCTTTATATCATAGGTGGATAGACGTCTACCACGTGCTACAGACATGACTAATGAAGAGGTAGAAGTAGGTGAGGAATATAATGGAGAACAGCAGTTGGGTGATAATAAAAAAATGCTATTTGGTCGACAGGATCAATATAACTAAGCAGACGCTGGGGTTGCTTTCTTAACATAGGGACAAAGGGCTAGATAAACCTCCCACGGTAGCACGTTATCATAGCTAAGATGGTACTGTCAGTCTTGGATGCTGACAGAGATACTGTGAGTGATGACTGATGAAGAAAGCATACAGATATAAATATGGTAATATTGGAGAAAGTTCTTGTACCTTCAACCGAGAGAATAATAAAATATAGCAGGGTGGAGTAAATATCCAAAAGAAAGCTGTTGATTGTTGATAAAGAATAATATATAATTTATGTGAACAAAACCTATCTAAACTGGTGAATAAGTGATTCTTTACTTTCCTTATGAGTAGTGTAGCTTTTTTTTGTTTGTTGGACAAATTTAGAAGTGATAGACTTGAGAGAAAACAACTAGTTAATACCACCCAACCCTTGGGCTACTTTAGTCAAATAATGGGATGGACCGTCACGTTATAACGCCTCCACGACTGAAAGGGCGAGCACGTTCAGTAATGGAATTTGAACCCACGGCTCTCATATTGCGAGTTGAAAGCCCTAAATACCAAGTCATGTCAAGCCCCGTGTAGGAAGATCAGCTATCAATCAGAAATGTTTCAGCCTAATTCTATTACTAACTTTACGTGTGTACCTCCAAGAGTATCACTATTAATGAGATAAAAAAGCCAAATTTAGTACGAAAAAATTTTAATTTTTCTGAAATATGTAGTTAAAACAAACGTCTTTGCAATTTACAGTTTTAAGGTTTAATACACAACCATGTCATGAATAGTATGATCGTAAATAGTCACAGTTTTTAAACATGCTTTCAATTAAGTATGCGTACTTTGAATATTAGGCGCCAGTGGCTTTTTTAAGGAAAATCACTACACGTACATCATAGTGCCCCAGTCGGTGGAATAAAAGAAGGGGGGGGGGAGGTGATAGAGTGCGCGCTTGCACGATTTCAAGCAGACTAAAACAGCTGCAAAAATTAATGGAGTCAGTGGCATTAAACTAGCGCGGGATTCAAAGCACTGTTAAAGGACAGTGAAACCACTGAAGCAATATAGATGACTTTTTTTTTATTATTTCTTAGTAATAACTGATATAAAATCACTTGTGTGTACTGAGCAGCATTGACATCTTTTTTTTTCTCCCTAGAGCACTTTGCAGTCATAAAACTATCACTACATAAATTGGTTTATAACTGCACAGTCTATGCATAATTGCAGGTTAAAATAGTCTACGTTAATTAAGCTCTTATTCAGACGTCACGGTTCGTTAATCTAGTGCATAGATATTAATAGTATTTCTGGTGTACTCATACATTGTAATATTGTGCATGCTAATTTTGTTTTCCGGAATAAATAATCGGAAAGTGATACGCGAGAGGGAGTTTTTGTCGATAAAATGCGCATTATGAGGAAGGTTAAGGAATATGTGTGAAAATTTTGAGCACTCAGGATCTAAGAAATTGGCTTCCAGAGTTCGGACAGACATTTTTTACAAGTCGTGTGTTTCACTTCTTTCTCTAGTTGTTCAGTGTTGTGAATAGATTTTAGACGAACGGAAAGTAGCAACATTACAATGATGAAATTAGGGTATCAAATGTTCGGTTGACTGATGTACTATTAAATAACTATACTTTATCTTCTTGCATTATAACAGTTAATGCTAAAATAGTATTAGAGTATTAGTCGCTAAAGATACATTTTAGGACCAAGAGTTAGGTTATAAGGAGAATGATAGGTCTTGGGTTAAATTATGTTTGATGACATAGACTTCAGTTTACAATAATTAACCGTGTTGCACCAATAGTTCAATGTTTATGATGTCTTGTAGTCATTTTGTGCAATATATGGAAATGTGCTGTTGGGTACATATACGATATAGCGATTAAAATACGTTGTATTATTTCATATGGTATGTGCGTTTATCATTATGTGCAAAGACATGAATTAATTTTATTTTAACAATTAAATTTAGAATTTCGATCAGAAATTCAATGTTTAGAATGCCGAGTGCAACACTTACATAACAATAACAACAACAAAATATACAATATTTACTTAAAATCAACTTTAGGAGCTCCTGGTGAAGGTCAGTCTCCAACAAAATCTTTCAAGTCCAATAATTCAGTGACCTGATGTTCAATCGATATGATAGAGAGACCAATTAAATGATTTTGTGTATCTGTTAAATTTTGATTCATGCAAGTTTTGAGTCGCTACGTTTTCCAATAACAGCAGCGACTGGTAATACCAAAAGAATTCTCAGTGTAATAAATCTATTAGTGGACTTGTTAGTAAGGTAGTTGTATCAAAGATGTTATCTGCTTTGATCACGCCTACAAATATTTGTATAGTAAAGAATAAGTGCTCATGAAATTTTCTAGATTTAAAACTTTCTGGTAAGGGAAGAAGGGATTGTTCTCGAACTGGCTTTGTTTATGTGCTGTCCACCAGAAGGTGCCTTACGCAAGTGTGAATAAGTCTAGAATCTTAAACTTGCTATAACTATAGCAATTACAAAGTACCTGCTGCTGTATAGAAAACGATAAACATTGGCATATTTAAATATAATCCAATGTCTCTCTACTGCTTTGACATTATGGCATTGCAAATTTTGCCGACTATGTTCCGTTTCAATCACTATTCTTTTTCCCTTCTATGTTAGTTAATCTTTAGTTCTTTATATCATTTTCCATCCCTTCCCTTTCTTTCAGTTTCTTTTTACTTTGACTTTGTTCAAACTCTGATTTTCAGTTTTTCTCACTGTCTTATTACCAATTCTTTTCTAGCCACTCTTGCATTTTGCCACTTTAGTTAAATGCGTTAGTTTATTTACCCGCCAATGTCATATAAATTTCAGAAATAATTCTATTGATGATTCGTAAACTAATACCGTGTTTTGTGGTTGTAAAATAAAGTTTGTGATATGAGCGATCTTTTGTCTGCAAAGTAAAATGAACGTTAATGTTTTTCAAATCTGAATCTGATTTAATAGATTACCTGTAGACCGAGGCAAGGTAAAATACTGTTGTGTTACCATGTGGAATTAAAGCTCGGAACCATCACTATGCATTGGTTCTAACGTTTTTCAGGCTAGAAAAACCATTGTAAAATAACGACATAGGTAAGAAATCTTAGAAATATGTTTAATTTGGTATTTTAAATTATATATCAGGTCTGACAATTTTCTTTGCGATTTGCTTCATACATAAATGAGTTAGAAATAGAAACACGTGTTCCAAAAAGCCAAAGAACCTTCATGTCACTTTTGGGTTAAAATCAAAATTTGAATTTTCAACTGTTCATGGGCTAAGTTTTTAGGTCAGAAACCCCTAGGGTTTAGGTATAAAATTTCCTAATTTTAAACTACTAACCAGAGGAAAGGAAGCCAGTCAGCAACATTGACTTATACAAGAATTTTTTCGCGTTCTTTGAACCAAATGACACGATTTATTCTCACTTTTATAATGTTTCATGAGCTGAAAGTGCGGAGAATATTCAGCGGCATCTCATCTTGAACTCTGAATTTTTGACCTGCAGCCAGACACATTAATAATTAAGCCATGCCCGACCTAAAGCTGAAATTAACAAAAGATAGGAGAAAAAAAGGCCAACTCACTGTCCTAAATATCGGTTAGTGCTAAGGTCGAATGACCTAACAACTTTAACTGTCCGTCACACGTTCTGTTTCTGCTAGTCTGTGATGAGCTAACAAACTGTTGTAATGGTTTCTATCATTGGGCAGGTTATTTATGACTATTTTGTAAAAATAATGCACAGTTCAGCTCAATCAGTGAAAGGAAGCGTTTTATTTCTTCAACTAAGAGCTTCACAACTGATATGGTTACACGAAGTAATAGTAACCCACATGGGCAGAGTACAGATAGCCAATAAAGTACCTTTGTGCATAACAACAAACTTTCTCTACACCAATAGTTAAACGTAACATAATTAATTCAGTATTACTTCTACATCAGTAGGTAAGCAGAATAGGATTTATATAACTTAATTTGATTAGCATTATTTTAAAAAAATCGCATGCTATTAGACAGGATGTTGTGAAAAACATGCTTTTATTAAATTCTCTCTACAAAATCATACCCTAATATTTAAAAAATACAAATACAGGGACACGTGCTAAAGCTACACTAAGCACACTACAGATTACAAGAAAAGGTTATCACTTAATAAGCTAGGCAACATATCATTCGAAAACATGACTGAGCAGGTTTTATTTGTATAGTACAACTTTAATCGTAAAATAATCACTGCAAATAAGTGACAAACATTTTGTTAAAAATGAGACATCGTAATTAAATGTATACTTTATGATACTAAAAAATGTGTGCATAACAGTGTCTTTCTTATCCTTATTTTGTTTCGAGGGGTGAGTGTATATGCACAGTGTCGGATAAACCAAACGTGGGCCCCCAACCCACCATATACTTTTTCAAATTACGACCGTTATCAAAGATAAAATTGACAACAAAATTCACCAATGTGAAAATCAAGATGTTGAAACCGATAAAAACAATGGCGAAACAAATATTATGCAGCAGGAAAGAAAAAAAAAGGCATCGCACAAGGCCCGCGCATTCTCGAAATACTTCAATTACTTTTTCTCACCAAAAGGGATTGAAAGAAAATTATAAAATAATTTGTATTCAATCAGAATAATGTAATTTAATCACAATAAAAAAAGGGTAAAAGTATAAATATTATAATAACTAATGTCAGAAATTGATTGCTGCAAAATTAAATAAAAATTTATTAAAACTATTTTTTTTTTTTGGTGAAGACATAAAATAAAGACACTCATGCAAGAATGTAAACAAAGAATATATTTCGATGTTTTTATTTCCTGAACCGAATGAGTTCAGTGGGTAATCCAACTATGTGTATATATTTGAGCTGTGTATTAAATTCATTTACAAATATATTGTATTTAATGTTAAAGCTGGAGAATTGCATTGATGTGGGTAACGAAAATAATTCCTTTGCTTGATGTGAATGCGTAAAAACAAAAGCATTACTAGCTATTTTGATAATAATGTAATTTCACAGTTGTATATTATATGGACTTCACCTCCTTTTTGATTGAGAAAGAAGTTTACCCATTGTTACAACTAAAGAAAACCAAAAGGTTGTCATATGAGCACAGGTTAAGATCTCTGAAATGGTTTTCTCTTGAAAAAAGAAGAGTTAGAAAGGATCTAGCTGGGGTGTTTAAGATTGCTAAGGGAATTTGTAGTGTTGATGCATCATCTTTTTACGTACTTAATGGTGACAATGGTAAGATTAGGGGACACAAGTATAAATTTTGACAAGTTAGGGATCATCTTCAACTAAAACAGTTTTATTTTTCTAAAAGGGCGGTTGTTCTTTAGAATGGGTTGCATTCAGATGGCGAGGATACAGGTGATTTAAGGGAGTTTAAGAGAAGACTTGATGAATATTTGAATAATGAGGGCTGGCTTTGAGTGTTTTATTTTTATTTTAAAGTTTAGTTTAGTGGAATGAATGGCCTAGATGGACCAACAGGTCCCTTGTTTTCCTTAAATTATATTTATGTATGTATGTTTTTTGTATGTAGCATAGAACTAGCGATAAGCAAATTCCAATGTTCTAAATAAGCAGCAACTAATAATTACTCAATAAATATAATAATATTTTCCACTAACACCCAACACTACACATCCTTGAACCACACAAAATTATAAAGACAATTATTTCCAACTTACCCAAGACCTATTTCCCACCCAAAACCTAATACCAGTGCTAAACCAAATAAGCAAAAATAAAATATATTTGTATGCAATTTATAATATGCGTAAAAACCAATTTTACGTCATCCCCAATAGGATCAACGTTTCGTTTCAATCCCATGTTTGTCACAAATCAGTAGTGTTCAATAAATTTGAAGTATCCTATTGAAAATTATGATATATGAGCTTCACTCGTATGCTTTAATATGTTTAACTCCTATTCTGATTGAAGATAACAATTATGAATACTGAGGAAGTTGAATTATGACCGTAACATAAACAACAGCATTAACACTGGAAACAAGTCTGAAGTTTTGGACGCCATGCCATATGATTTGCTATGAGTAGTGTGTTTGTTTTTTGTAAAGCGCAAAACTACACATTAGACTGTCTGTGATCTTCTCCCCGCTGGTATCGAAACTCAGCTTTTAGCGTTATAAACTTTCAAATATATCGCTCAGACACTGAGGGCGTTTTTTGTGAGTTGAGTTCATCTTTATAGTTTGTTTTAGCGCAAAGCTACACAATAGGCTATCTGCGCTATTTCAACCAGGAGAATCGAACCCCGTAGCTTAGCGTTGTAAGTTCTTAAATCGTTGACACCCTGGAGGACTAATCCTATCAAAATTTTACTGAAAAATATACGAAATTATATCAATATAATTTTGTGTCAGACAATAATTTGTGCTACAATTCGATTAATTGAAATAAATAAATTTTGGATTCCTCTTATTGTGTGTATATATATACATATAGATAGATAATTTCAAGCACTTAATTAAGTGAAATTAATCTGTTAGAATATAAAACTTTGAATCACAGCTGTTGCAAGTTTCTGTAAGTACGTATATAATTCAAGACATAGTAATTGTATCAGAAAAAAATATGTTTTTAGATAATATAGTATTTTAATATTTTATGTCTAGCAATTTATAATATCAGGACGTGGCTTACTATGACATCTATAATGAAATTTACGAAGCAGGGAAGACTGAAAAATCTATTATAAGGACGTTTTATTTCGATTTAGGCTGGTGGCGAGCCTGTCTTTGTTCTTCATTTCTAAACCATGGATCTGAGTTAAACTTCTGAGGCATGCAGATCATTTCGAGTTCCACAAGTAGCGGCAAATGATCGGATGGTATGAGAGGATGAGGACAGCCAGCTACGTTGTTCTTCTTCAGCCAATGTTCATCGAGTGGTCCGAGTAATCCGACAACACGCATGTGTTTATCAGGATAAAAAATGTAGTCGATGACTCCTTTAAAGTCATTTCTGCAAGAAAAAACAAACTTAATTAACAACAACTTGTTCATTTTTATTGCACGTTGAACAACAAATTTGAAAAAATATATATGTGTGTGTATATATATATATATATTTATACATTTATGCAGATTAAAAAACTTGGTTATTTAAAACTTTGTAATAATGCTTAATAGCTATGATTATTTCTTTCGTTGCATATATTTTTAAAACGTGTTCAAAAATGTGCATTTGCCAATTTATATAGGATATCATAGTTTTTTTTATATTTTATTTCACCAAACTTTCAAACCAGCACAATAACATCATAGCAAAGTCTTTTAAGCCCAATATCAAATCTGAAATATTATCTCCAACAATAAAGGTTCTGCTCTTCAGCGTCATAAATAAATAGGTAAGAAAGCAAAATGTAAGAAAGAAATAAACGAATCAAACATTACATTATTGCAAACTCTTTAGCCTCATTTATTTATTCATATATATGCAACTAACTCTATTAATAAAGAAAAAATACGGAGTGTAAACTATATTTACTTTGCAGCAGCCATTTTCAGGAACAGTGACCTTCCAATGTTATTACAGAAACATAATTTTTATTATGTCATAAAATATGTAAAAAAATATAAACATGAACACGAAGATCTTGAGTATTGATCTAATTTTCTTTGTTTATTTTTGTTACTACACACCAAAACAGTTTCTTAGAAATTTACGATTGGCGGAAAATTTTTGAAATTATCCATACAAGGACCAAAAAACGTGTACACAAAGAGAGGGATTTAAAGAAAACTACAAGAGAACAAATAAAAGAGAGTGAACATCATTACGTTAAATTTGTGTAGGGTATATCACCATCCTTGTAGGCTCGAGAGATTTGGAAAGGATGAGAATATTCATTAAGTGTTTTTGAAGAACCCAACTTCTGCAGACAGTCCTTGTACCCAAAACCCTTGAAGTCACTGTGGTCGGCCGAAACCTTTCCTGTGGTTAGGAACTCTACCACTCCTATTGGTTTGAAAAGCAAAAAAAAAAAAAGGTAATTTATAGCATACTTTATGAAAACACAGATACGGCATAATATATATATATATATTCGTCATTCCTTTCATATTCGCATGAAAGATCTGTTCTATATAGAAACACAAACAATATGGTTTAATTAAAGCACGAATTTATCGTTACCAGCCAACTATAAGCTATAACTTACCAGAAGACGGAATAGAATTAAAATCTCCACAGAGCAACAAAGGAATTGTGCTGGCACCCGACCCATGTCCACTTCCATAGTTATTTTGTGCAGTATCTTGTGCAATTTGTCTGAGTTCATGCATTAGCATCATGGTCTGGATGAGTTTGACATCAGAATACGCTGGATCCCAATGCATGTGAGTAGTACAAACCAAAAGTGGCTGGTGAAAGTGTGAGGACGTAGAATTATCTGAAATTAAATAAAGTCTACTTCAGTTATTGCAAAGTAGTTATTTGTTTGTTGAATTACGTCCAAAACTACTCGAGGGCTATATGTATTGCGTTATCCGTCTTTAATTTAGAAGTGATGGACTAGATGGAACGCAGCCAATCAAAACCACTTATCACCAACTCTTGGGCTACACTTTTACCAACGAAAAGTGGGATTGACCGTGACATTATAACGCCTTCACGGCTGAAAGGGAGAGAATGGATTCGAACCCACGAACCACAGATTGCGAGTCGAGCGCCCTATACACCAGACCCTTGAAAATTACGAAAGAAGAAAATACATGTATTCAAAAGTGACAAAAAAGGATAAAAACACATCTGAAACCGGTGCGTTGTCGAAGGAGGGTGTCGTAAGTATGTACATAAACGAACCCCTTTTTGGCCTGTAACTAAGCATTAATTCCACAAGATGTATATCGATTTAGCTCAACCACAACCATAACGGTCTCTTTTCTGTGAACGAGCAGATACCATTCAATTTGTATTATCCAGGGGAACGCCGTGTTGTAAACTAACGTTATTTCCACGATAAACCCTTTATATTTTCATTTACATTAGAATAACTAAATACGTTTCCAAACACTGTAATTATACATGCCTACATACTCCTAGCCAGTTCGATACAGTAAGACACGGTGTTTAAGCTGCAGAATTCAAACAAAAGCTATTAAAAGGAATTAATTGTGATGCATATATTAACTTCAATTAATCAGTTAATGGTTCTTTTATAAAATTGTACATTAGGATCAGTGTTTGGCGACATGGCTTGTTTAAACATTAACTTCTTGGATATTATGAAAAGGCGGAAAACTTTAATTTTATAAGTATATATTCTGTGTCATATGGAAACGTACGCGTTTTCCATCACTTTTCGTGGTTCTTTTTCCCTGTTGTCTAGTTGTAGTAGAAAGAAACGGTTTGGTTATTTTAGAGCAAAGTCAACCTGGGCTATCTACTGTGTCCACCACGGGGAATCGAACCCCAGATTTTAGCATTGTACATCCGTAGAATTACTACTGTCCCATCGGGGAACAGAAATATTTTTTGTTTGTTTGTTTGTAATTAAGCACAAAGCTACACAATGGGCTATCTGTGCTCTGCCCACCACGGGTATCGAAACCCGGATTCTAGCGTTGTAAGTCCGCAGACATACCGCTGTGCCACTGGGGGGCGGACAGAAAGAGAAGATTTGTCGTGGCAGAAATCTATAATGAAACAAAACAAAAATTTGTTTTTGTGTATTTTTAGAGCAAGTGGTTATCTTATTTGATTTTTGATTACATATCCACAAACTCTTGAATGGTGCTTATGATATCAAATAACATTTGCAGCCAAAGATGTGTATGAACAGTGATATTATTTTTTGATGGAAATTTATATACATATATGTTAATCACCGGTGAGCTTTAACTTAGTAAAATTAATTTTAACTTACTGTCCACATAGTTCATTTTAAGGTTTTGTTAAGAAAGAAAACTTGGTGAGTCTGCTATTTGCCTTTAATATTTCTTGATATATTTGATGTATCCCAATAATAGCTTGGTGTCAATATGTTCTTATATTACATTGCGACAACATTGTAAGTTTGATGCTAGCAAGAGAGCGCAAGAAGTTAAAATTGAAAAGTTTAATAATATAGTTCTAGGAAGTCCTAAAAATTTTGATGTCAGGTTTTCCTATAAACTCGAGGAGAGAATTATAAAACGAGGTTCAGTGAAGCATCAAAGAAGATAGAGTTATTTTTAATCAGTAGAATGAACAGCCAGGGAGTGTTTTTGTCCCTGTTGTATTTAGTTACTTGATCTATCAGGCCTTGAATTGTACAAGTAAGTTTATTTTTACGTTAATGTAGTACAGTTAGCGTATCCTACAAGTTACAAGTGTTCAAGCTTGTATAAACGTTAAGGAAGAAATAACTAATTTATTATCTTTACTTGGAGTGGATTTTGAATTGTTTTCACCATATAATTCAAAACAACCCGCCTTACGAAAGAACAACGTTACAACAATATACATATATATATATATATATTGTGTGTATGTGTACGTATATATATAGTATTAAACCATTAAAAATATTAAAAATTTGTTAAACATTATATAATATTTCGATTAGATCTGGATGCCTAGTCCTTACAAAATCTTTTTCCCCTCTATAGCTATTTATAGTCACATGCCATAATAAACTTTCATCTTGACAAACAGAGGAATTAAATTTATGCGAGGTAGTATGTTACTCAATTAAAATGTCAAACTAATTTCACAAATACTATGTTGAATGGACAGGATATTGGACCATTACTAATTGTTTTTAATCAAAATTAGTTTTAATCGTTGAGTAATGAAAACCTATTAGATTATGTTGAAAATAATATTCGTTATTTCTATGTAAAAGTGATTATATTTAAAACACACCATTCGACATTGGCCCTACTCTTGGCTGGAGTAAAGCAACCAATCCAATGTTATCTCTTGTTTGAACCCTGTTCAGCATGTCATCTGAACCTTCTGCAGTTGCCAAGGCGACTTGGTTGAATTCCACTAAGTTTTCTTTTATGAACGTGAATCTAGAAATATATAGGCCAATGATTATCGAGTAATTTGACAAATTAATAAAATTAGAATAATATTTTTTTCATTTGGCATTACTACTGATTCCTATAAAAAAATGAAAAATATTAATTCTTAATCATGTAAAATGTTTTCAACATTTTATTTCAAATGCAATAAAGCAATTTCGCTTATCCAAAATTAGTTTTGGAGGATTATTACTGAAAAGTCCCATGTAATAGCTTATTACCGTAACTATTGTGAATATAAAAAACAACAACAAATAAACCAAACTTCAATGACTAGTTTAAACATTTCTGTGCAAACTGCCATCTTTATTACATCTGTTATTAAATAATCCCATGTGTCGTTTACGAACAAAATACTTTCAGTGATTTTGTAATATTCTGCTACAACAAAATAACCGTTGAATTATTCCGATTAAAAATATAGTCACATAGTAATTAATGTTGCGATTTATTTGTGAAATTGTGGAAGCTTTTCTTTTACTCACTTATTAATACGGAAGAAAATAGCACATCCATCCACGTGTCTTCTTTCATTATGAGAGACAATTTTTGCTCTTGATTTGGGGGAGAAAATTCCCTCATATCCATCTCTTCTTAGCTCTGGCAAGAAGAACTCGTAGAATTGTTCAGTTTCCACTTCCTTTATATAGGTATAAACAATTAATTTT